CCCCCCCATCTCCATAGACCCTCCATCTCCATTGACCCCCATCCCTCTTCCCTCTGGTCCTTACAGACCATCCTCCTCCCCCAGCCCCCATTAAACCAGACCCCTTTGGACCTTATATAACTCCCCAAATCTGCTCCCTCTCAGGGTCCTTACAGACTCCAGCCCTCCTGGTCCCTCTGGGCCTTGAAGACTCCCAGGCCCCCTCTGCCCCCTTAGATCTTTCCAACCCCCCCTGTCCCCCCCCAGCATCATGACTCCCCCTTTGGTGGGTGTTGTGGGGAGCTGAAGAGGAGCTGATTTTGGGGGGGTGGGGGGGACTCATTTGCCCCCAGGGCCAGGGGGGTTGCAGATTTTTCCCCCGATCCATGGGCAGGGGGTCTGGGGGGGGGGTTAAACAGGGCGAGGGAGGGTCAAATCTCTCTGAGGGGTGCATCCCCCTGCCCCCATATAGGGGGAACATTTTGCAGAGGTGGCTGTGGTCCCTTTGGGGGTGCCAGGGTGGGAACATGGTGCCATCGGGGGCTGTTCCCTCGCTCTTCCCAAAATCCAGCCCGTCCTAGTTGCCATGGAAATACGGTCCTGTTCCCCCCCTCCCATCTCTCAGTGTCACCCGCCAGCCACCGCGCATGTGTCCCCCCCCCCTCCAGGACTGGGGGGACATTGCTCTGGTCAGGGGGAAAACTGAGGCACCCCAGGGGTTGGCACTCACCATGTCCCCTGTCCTGGGGGCCACATAGAGAGGGGACAGGGAGACAGGGATGCCAGGCCCTGGTGATCCCCCCTTTTCCTCCAGTGGTGAGAGGGTCCCCACTGTCCATGCCAGCACGGGAACCTCGGTGTACCAGGGCATGGGGACATGGGGCAGTGGCAGGGGACAGCCAGGCCCTCCCCCCTTCCCGGAGCACGCGTGTCCCCCACAGGACCCTTTCCATGGCAGGGTCGGGGTGCTGCCGTGCTCAGCTGTGTCCCCAGCCTGGTGTAGGGATCCCTCTGTGGGCCCCAATGCTGCCCTGACCCCTGGGGGGAGAGGACCCTGTCAGGCAGGAGACAGGCAAGGGACAGGCAGGGACATGGGTCCTGGGAGGGGGAGAGGTGCTGTTGGAGGGGCTGTAGATGCTGCTGCCTGGTGTGGGCATGGCCATGCTGTTCCCCTCCCAGTCTGTGTCCCCGTCCCCATCCCTGTCCCCAGGGGTGTTGGTGTCTGCTAGCTCCCCTTACCCACAGCTGGGTCCTGTGCCCATCCCCATCCCCATCCCCACTGCCGCTACCACCACAGCCACTGCTGCCATCCGGGCCAT